TCTTCCTCCTCCCTCTCCTGCTATAAAAACCCCATTTCGGGGAGTTCTTAGGGCTGGCCGAAAATTCTTGGAGAGGGTGGAGGTGCTGCCAAAATCTCCTCTAAATCTCCTTGGTTCGATTTTTTTTTTTCTTGCTCTGCTCATCTTGTGTGCTTGAGGCCTTTTGGAAGTGCTGTGGAGAAGATTTGTGGAGATTTCGGAGCCGAAACTTTTGGGAAAAGGGGAGGTTCTGTCGGATTCGTCACTGGTTTCTTTTCCTTGAAGTTTTTTTTGTTTGTTTTGGTTTGCAGCAAAGGTAACCCTCTTCCTCCTTTCTTCAAGCATTTGGAGGAACTATTATCTTTTATCCACTGAAATCTGGGTTTATTAGTTTGGATTATGAATCGATTTCTTGCTTAATTAAGCAAATCTATATACGACATTTGTCTTTTAATAATTTTGAGACATCTTCTTTGTTGTGGTATAATGAAGGAAAGCAAGACTTAAAAATTCTGTAGGTTCTGAACTCATCCTTTTATGGCTTGAGAGGATTTAGGTTAAATATTGCTCACATACTTGTCAGGTTTATAAGCTTGTCTGCTTGCTGAATGCCACTGTTGTTGCAATGATGACGTTGTGGGCAACCGATCTCGACAGGGTTAATCGTATAAACCCCAGAACCTGTCGATCCAACAGATTCAATTTCGTCTCGTCCATCTTTTCTGGTCGCTTTCTCAGTAACGGAAGATGAAGTTTCTTCTCATAGATGTAGTCCTCTATCTGCATCCTCCAGGAAGCAAAATCTGTGTCATTAAACTTCTCGATCCCCGATGTCATCACTTTGTCTCTGCCCATCGTTCTTCCTTAGATTCGAACCAAAGCTCTGATACCAGTTGTTGTGAAAAACGACGACAATAAAATGAAAAATGGAACGAGAAAATTTGCACGCAAAAAAAACGTCAGAGCGACACACAGATTTACGTAGTTCGACAAAATTGTCTACGTCCACGGAGCTGCAGAGGATTTTACTACTTCGAGGAATTACACGTCGGGCACCTCGACGTTTACAAGAAAATCACTATTTTCTTCTCTCCCTCTCTCTCTCTCTCTCTCTTCCTCTCTTTCTCTTAGCTCTCAAGAGGACTTGATTTGATCTTGCTTGATTTTGCTTGAGACTTTTCATTTAAACCAAAAGAGACAATTTATAAAAAATATTAGAGCGGTAGGTGAGAGGTAGGTGAGCGGTAGGTGGGATGTGGTATGTGAGCGGTAGGTTGGTGTGACAGGTGAGCGGTAGGTGGGTGTGGCAGGTGAGCAATAGGTGAGATACTTAATTAGGAAGCTAAATAAATTCGGTGGACCGGGTCTCCGCATTACCCAACACTACATATTTAAATACTTAAGAATTGCATGGTTTGTATGTAAATTTCTCTTTTCTCGTAGGCAAGATTTTGTCACTTGTTCTTGTGGTGGGCAACAAGGTAGAAACATTCGTTCTAAGCTTTTAATGTAGCTGCAGATTCTAACCTGTTTTAATTATATTTTGGGCTGCGATTTTGGCCTCGTAGTGGCTTGGTTTTGGATCCTGTTTTGGTGGCTCGGTTCTGTTCCATGATGATGCTCACTCATGTTTGAAACATAAGTAGAATGAAAATTTTGGTTTTAAGGCCTTTTTGAGGCTTGTTTTGGGGGTTCGGTTTTGCTTCATGTTGTTGCCCTCTCATGTTTGAAATATAAGTTGAATGAAAATTTTAGTTTTAAGCCTTTTTGGAGCTTGATATGGTGGTTTGGTTCTGCTCCTTGTCATTGCTTCCCTATTTGAGATACATGTTGAGCATGCTCGGAGGCTTTTGGAGCCTGTTTTTGGGGGGTTTGATGTTATCCCTCCTGTTACCTCTCTATTCGAAGCTTATTCATGAAATTTCATTTAATTTTGGGGTTTTGGAGGTATAATTTCGAGACTGTTTTGCT